CGAGGAGAATGACAACAAAAAAATACGCATGCACAGACTATTTGAGCATAATCTTCTTCAATAACGGGGAAATATTTATCTTTAAAGAAATGAAAACGAGGGCTACTAACTACATCTCTGCCATCTTTTGGGTTCTCAGTCTTTCGATGTATGTTTGTCACCGAGAAAGGAGTGCATGAACTGAAGCCAGAGTGGGTTGGATAAAGAGAGGCATCTCTAAAACAATAGGATTATTTGTTTTTTTTTTTTTTGTTTTTTTTTTTGTAATCCTCTTGACTGAATTATGTTTCTATTTCACACATTTCTTTTTTTTTTTGTTTCCCATCACCATTGAGGTTTAAATAGAAGCAAAAAGGCAAGGAAGGCACATTAATAGACCCCAGACTCTTCATGTCAGAGGAGAGGATACCCGAGACAAAGGCGCACCATCGTTAACGCCGGATCTCAAGAAAAAATAAATAAATAAAAAAAGTATGAACCCCACTTGACCTTTCTCACTGTGTCACTTTTTTTTGGTGGGTGGGGTGGTGACGTTTTCCATCTGGAACCTTGATGGTTAATTGTTTTTTTTTGCTTTTATTACTTCTTTCTAGGGTCCTGAGACAAGGCATTTCTGCCGAACCCGCAAAGGTAAAGCAAGAAAAGATAGAAGTTTCCTCGGGTTTAGCGAGAAGATGTCGCACCCGTCCGAGTTTTTTTTTTTTTCGTTTCCTACCACAAGAGAAAAAGTGGTATCAAAGAAAGCCGTCGGATGAATCCGAAACAAAGCAAATAGAAGGCAAAAAAAAGGGGGAATTAAAAAAGCACAACAGGTCAGTCAAGTGCAATAAATTCTCCTTTTTTTTAAGGCATTAGAAAAATACGGTGAACCCATTTGAAGAAAGTCACCCCACACCCAAGGGTCAAAACAATCCACAAGAAAAAAAAGACACCTGTCGGGAGCGCGGCCTTTGGTCGACTCCTTCTTTTCCCCTTCATTCCGAACTGGAAGACCTGCGATTGTGGGCCCTCCTCCGGTTGGAGTGGAAACAAACCTTTTGGGTGACTGTTTCTGCCATTTTTTGTCCCTCTCATTTTATAAAGATTTCTTTCAATCCCAGCAGTCACGTCCTGCGCACTCCCTTCTTTATTTGTTTGTGATTTGTGTTGTTTTTTTTTTCAAAAGGAATCTCTGAAACCATCCGTTGGTTTTATTCTGTGTTTGTTTTGTTTTTCTCATTTTTTCTTCCGATTTCCCCGCTTGCAGTCCGCCGGTTTCCCCACTAGACTTGTGGAACGCCGTCTTTTTTTGTTTTTTTTTCTTTTTTTGTTTTTTCCGCTGCCGTTCTCCGTCTTTCCTCTCTCACTCTTTGTGCGCCGGTGGCCCGTGGGAACCCTCATTGCCAAAACAAACGGGGTATTAAAAAAGAAAAGAAAAAAAAAAAGACACCCCACCGCCATTGACACAACCACCGACCACCCACCCAGGTTTGAACAGCACGACGCATTTTTTTTTTCCGTTTTGTTTAACTTATTTTTTTTTTTTTATTATTCCCACGATTTGCTTTCTAAAGAAAGAAAAAAAAGAAAGTAGAGGGCATCCGCCCGTAGAATTCTAGATAAGGGATGGCGTCCGGGCTCGGGGAAAGCTGGGCGTCGGTCCGAAGGGGACATTTCAGGGACCGGAAAAGGGGAAGGCCAGATCCAACCCCGGCAAGAGAAAGCAACACCAGGAGAGACACAGGGATGACCGGGGGAGCCTCTTGGGGTGGATTCCTTGGTTCCCCTGGTGCCTTTTACCCTGGTGCTCCTCTTTCCTGGGGCCCACAACCCGCAATAATTGAAAAAAGTGGTCCCGTTTTAGTCGGGGAATTGGCGTATCAAGATTTCCAGTCGGAAATTAAAACGACCCCAACGCCAGCAAACACCCATCAAACACAACAACAAAACCCTATACGAGAGATAAATGAAAAGAAGGAAGACGGTGAAAAAATAACAACAGCAAATCCGAAACCGCAAGAAATGACTGCCGAGAAAAATGGAAATAGCCATGCAGCGGTACAAGAACTCTTGCGACGTATTATCGCTTTAGAATTTTCCGGAAGGTGCACGCAAAGGTCCATGACAATAGTTCAAACTATTTGTGATACCCTTTGTGTGGACCCAATTGGGGTTATTAAAGTTATGGAAGTATTGGATGAATGTTTTTTAAAAGCTGTAAAAATGAAACAACAAGAACAATTACTAAATTATTGGTACATTGTAGATGCTGTGATGAAACTCTTCCGTGACCGACCTCCAATGTTAAACGCCATTATGGTTACTTTACCTCATCTTCTTCTCCAGTATGTGCCATGGAAGAATGGCAAACTTGAAGAAGAACCATGGATTCAAAGAGAAAAAGACGAAGCACGTTACGAACAACTTTTCCAAACGTGGGAACACACTGTATCAAGAGATCTTTTAGATGAAATATGGGATATGTGGAGGAATGGACTCACAGAAACAGAAGCAAAAAAAAATACCATAGCTTAAGAATAAATGTAGAAGTTGAAAAGATTTTTAAATACAAACGAAAGTGCCTTTTTGTGGCACTACAAATGGGAAAACAATTTCTTTCATGCGAGAACCGTTCGCAACACTTTTAAACAAAAAACCCTCTCCAATATCCCCAGGGTGAAAAAGAAGGAAGAAAACGCACCAAACGCGTCTCTTGCCCACAAATTTCTTATTCCTTTTTTTGGTCAATTTGTTTTTTTAATCCAACAAAAGAAAGGAAAGAAAAAATAGCACAAAAAAAAGAAACAAAACAAAAAAAAAAATCCTGCAGAGCCGACGTTTTCTTTTTTCCTCTCTTCCCGTTTTACTCGAGACGTGGGCCGAGACCCCCGCCCCCCACCTGGGCCAGCCCACCCCATGGGAGGCAGAGGCCCACAGCCAGAGCGCAACGCGCGGTGCCGCAAACAAAAACGCAACCACCACCAGCACATGTAAAAAACACGAATCACAACGGCAAAAACCAGATGGCGCGCCTGGCACCCCCAAAAAAATACAGGGGTGGGGGCCCAACCCCGCCACACGGACAAGTCCGAGACGGCCCGGGACACCGCCTAACCCCACCAAGGCGGAGCAGCACAACGACACAGAGGCTACGAACGACCAAAATAAGAATAAAAACCAACAGAACACCAAAATATCAGGGGCGCAACTATTGTAGAGGCCGCCTGCTTCGACCAGAAAACTGCCGCCCCACCCCGGCGCCACCAGCCGGCCAAAGTTGTGAGCCGGCCAAAGTTGTGACAGACGGCGGCGGCGACGCCACCAGGCCGGCACAACCCAAAACACCGGAACAACCCAACAACACCCACAAGGGTTGGCTTGCGTGCGAAAATGTGCCCCAATACCACCGTAACGAGGCCCAGTAGAGCACGGGGGCGGGAAACGCACGGCACTCGCAAAACTGAAAATTCACCCCTGGAGGTGGGGCTGGGAAGGGCACCCCCGGGAGCATAATACGTTCTATTGCGGGTGTGTCGGGTACGACCATACTTGGCCGAATGCACCATATCCCGTCCGATTTGTGAAGTTAAGCGGCCACAGGCCTCGTTAGCACGGCGATCAGTGGTGGGGCGCTGGAACCCGGGGCGCCGTACCCTCCTCAACTTTTTTTTTTGCCAACATCATGGGGCAGGTGGCGTGGACCTCTGAAGTGAATCACGGCGCGCCTTTGGCAATGGGGGCTGTCCAATCGCGGCGCACAGCTTACGCACTTCCATCCCTTCAGGGGAGCCAAACATACTTCACGCATTGTTGTGGTGGGGCAGGCGGTGGGGTGCCAACAAACCAAAATACTTATGAGGCAAAATGTTGTTTTTGTGCTTATTTTTCCTTTTCTGCATTTCCCATGGATTTCCTTTTCACACCACACATGGCAGTAGCGGAACGCCTTATCATCACCATAGCGGAATTTGCCTTTATCATGGGGGT